GCTCATCAACTGGTGTATGTGTGCATGCCATCTCTGGTGAAGGAAGTAGCATATAGCCAGTGATGGTAGCAGCCACTGACAGCCTCCTCTTCCATGATGCTGTCCAAGTCCAGCCAGACCGTACTGATTTCATCTTACCCAGATCCAAGAGATAGAACAGGTCTCTATTTCAGCAAAAGGCCAGGTCTCACCCAGCATTGGGACTGCAACATATATAACCTTAGTCCAGGGGTCCTCAATCTTTTTCAACAGGGGTCCAGTTGAAAGGTGCCAGTAGTGGGCATGGGCCTGCGTGGCAAGGCAGCTGTGGGCGCGCGAAGCAGCGGCTTGCTCACTTGGAGATGGTTTTCTCCAAGCGAGTCCAAAACAATCTCCGCGTGAGCAAGCCACTGCCTCCCCACGCGCATGGTGAGGCGGTGGCAGGCGTGCACTGGGCGGGCAGCAGCGGTGGGTGGGGCACACGTGCAACAAGTCCAAAACCTCTGAGGTGGGCCAGATAAATGCGCATGGCGGGCCGGATCCAGCCTGTGGGCCATAGTTTGAGGACCCATGCCTTAGTCTATTTATTCAATAGTGAAATGTCCAGAACAGGAATTGCCTAGATACCATCTCAGAGCTGGGGAGGAGACATTATAGTCAACAGACATACAAACAAGAGATTCTTGTAACATCTTGATCCGGGCAAGGGGAGAGCAACCAGAGGAGGTATATTCTAGTGTGAAAGGAATGGGTGAGGGGCATTTCTTTTCCAGCATAGGTACCAAGAACAAGTCTCCCTGGAGGTAAGGAAGGTTCAGCCAGGCTCATGAGACATATTGCCCAAGTTTTCTTCAGTACATATGCCCAGGTACATTTTTTTCCTCCCAAAGGAGAAAGGCCAGGAGAACTTTCTCATGGACATAGTGGGTCTTCATGGAACCAGGAATGCAGCTTTGAGAAGGGCTATGCCAGCTAAGCTTTATTTTTTTATTTTGTTCTTTGCTACCAATTTAAGCCCTTATTGCTTCATGCCCAGACTCAGACCAATCTTATTTTCATTCTGTACCTTTTCCCTGAATCCTTAATCTTTTACTCTGTTTTTACCAAGACCCATACAGTGTGCTTTGAGGGTGAATGGGAGGAAGCTCACAAGAGGTACACCATAGTTATGTGTTGCACTATGTTGTTTCAGCATCCAAGTTGCACAAAATAGCTTCCTAGAGTCCAAATCAATAAGAATAGGCAGGATATAAGAAAGAATAAAAATATCGGTAACAACTGAAAGTGACCTGCAACCTAGCTGTGCTTCCCTAAGGACACAGGTGAGCTAAAAGGAAGCCCAACACAAAGGAGTGGGTTTGTTTTACTCTTGGCAGTGACTGCCAGTAGCAGTGGGCCCTGCTGCATCAGACCTTGCACCCTCAGATGGCATTGCCTACAGGTGCCAGGTCACCACATGAAGACAGCAGTGAGAGGAACCTCAGCTCACTCTGAGCCTCCGTCCAGCACATTTCCCCCCGTTTCTTCCCAGCACTCATTCTAGGAAAGGTGCAGATAAGTGACAAATGCCCCCTCCCACTGCTTTTCCTGCTGGCCTAAGCTCAGGCTAGCTTAGAGTAAGGAAGTGATGCATTGTTTGTTTGCTCAATTCATTTTTGTACTGTCCAATAGCTGACTCAAGGTCTGGAAAGGTGGCCAATCATCCAAGCCAATTTTTCATCAGAACTGATGCCATGACCAAGAAAACAGTCACCATGCCTGACTTCCAAATGCCTAAACCAGCTGAGCAGCTGCTGCTCCAACTCAAGCTACAGGAGGAGGAACTGGAAGAGAGAAGGCTTGCCAAAGTGACCAAGAAGAAAGAGGCTTTCTAGGGATGTTGCACTGGAGGAGAATCAGCTTGATCCAAAGAGAGAGAACAGGGTTAGGGCCTTAGCAAGGAGCCCATTCTTACTCTTCTGCCATCCCCCTACTGAGCATTCATCTTTGCCAGTTTCCTCTCTAGAAGTAGAAGACTTTGTAGATGACTTTTTGCACCTTTTGATACGTCTGTAGGAGCTCCAATGTGAAAAAGTGGAGCTCCTAAATCCCCAAATTTTGGGTTCAGTCTGAAAAATCCTGATGGAACTGAAAGACACAGAAGAGTCATTTTATCACCTGTACAGGGAATGGACAAGGCACAGTATGGAGGTGACTGAAGCCCATTCTTGTCTGCAGCTGTTTGGCATTGCCCACGGGCCCAGAACATTATAGCCAGTTGTTAAGCCATATGGTCCAGCAGTGAAAGCTGTAGCTTGAAGTAGCCAAAGTGAAAGCTGTAGATGAACTTATCACCCTCTTCTCCCTGGATTTCTACTATGGATTTATTAGATGTACATCCTTCCTTTTTTCTTATACAGAACTCAAAGCGGCTTACATAATTTTCTTCCTCCTGCTCTCAATCTTATCCCCACAACAACCTTGTGAGGTAGGTTGGGCTGAGAGTCTGTGACTGGCCCAAAGTCACCAAGTTTTAGTCACCAATGGCTTAGGACCTGGCTACCTGAAGGAGTGTCTCCTTCTGTATGTGCCTGCCCACCCCTTAAGATCTGGGGCACAGGCCCTTCTTCGGAAGCCCTCCTTGAAGGAGATTAGGAGGGTGACTACCAGAGAAGGGCCTTCTCTGAGGTGGTACCCTGATTGTGCCCCAGAGAGGTTTGCCTGGCACTGTCACTGTATTCTTTTTGGCACCAGGCTAAAACCTTTTTATTTTCCCAATATTTTAAGGCCACAGGGGACCTCTAGGAAGGAAAGGGAGGCTGGGAAGGTAACTGGTCCACCAGCAGGCTCCCTAGGGCTCTTTTACCTCTCTGAACCAGTTTAAGGTCCTAAGGGTTCCCCAACCAGCACACCTGCAGTCTGGAATTGTTTCAAGTGCAGACCAGCTAGACATTTTGAAGCCACATTTTAAACCTGTATCAGAATACACAACCAGCATTTTGTGCATACAAACCAGGAAGGAGCAGCCTACTCTATTGCTCAGTCTGATCCAAATGGTCCACATCCAGTCTAAGCCCTGGCAGGACGTCCCTGAAGGGAACAACACCAAAAGGGGTGCACCCCTTTGGGATGCTACAAGGGTAAGGGTGCCCTATCACTTCTCCCTCACTGCCCCCTCCCCGGGTTTATGAGCCTATGGCTAGGGCCATGGCCAAGTGGATGGCTATGGGGCCAAGAAGGAAGATGGTGGGGGTCCCATTTAGTATAGTGATGAGCAGAGAAAGTAAAAGCACTGGGAGGAAGACTGGCCAGGTAAGGGGAATGCGGCCAAGATAGCTAATAGCTCTGACAAACAAGCCACTGTTTAAGGCTATCGATATCTGCCACTGGACAAGGAGGCTAGTGAAAAGAGGGCCTTTATCATTTACAAAGGCTTGTTCCAATTCACGCAGATGGCTTTTGGGCTCCAGAAAGCATCCAATACCTTCCAAAGACCCTAACTCAAACCAGCTATTTAATGGGCTGGACCACTTTCCCATGGCATATATCAATGATCTGGCTATCTTTTCAGACTTCAGGAAGGATCATTCAGCCCATCTACAGACTGTACTACAGAGGATGTAGCAGTATGATCTGACTATTAAGGCCAATAAGTGTTTTGTTGGTCTGGGCAAAGTCAAAAAGCAGGCTCAGGGAGTGCATGCTCCGTCAGGAGGAGGAAGCATCCATTCTGCAGTGGCCTAGGTCAAAGATCAAGAAACAGAGCCTGTCTTTCTTGTGTATGGCAGGGTAGTACAGGAGATTTGTGAAAGATTAAAGCACGTTGGCTGGCCTTCTCACAGACCTCATTAAGAAACACTGTCCCTTGAAGGTAGTCTGGACAGAAGCTTGCCAACATGTGATTGACAAGGTGAAGGAGACCTTATCCACATCTCCAGTGTTGCAAGCTCCTGACTTCTCAAAGCAGTTTTTCCTAACCACTGATGCCTCTGACAGGGGAGTGGTGGCATTGTTAATGTTTGAGGCCCAGTCTGTCAACTACATGCAATGCGGTATCTCAACAGAAAACTAACAGACTGAAGGATGAACTTGTATGCCTCACAAAAGGAATGCTATGCCTTGATGTATGTTGTGCAAAAGTTGGGGGAAGAAGGTCACCTTCCAAAAAGACCATTCTTCTTTACAATAGTTACAGTGGACCAAAGGGTACTGCAGCTCCTGTGCTGGAACCTATAAGACTTTGACCTTTAACAAACACATCCTATGGAAAGACAATAGTGTTGTCAATGCTCTGTCTAAGAGCAGATACAGCTAAATATACTAATACTGTTTGTTGTGCTCACCTTTCTGTATGTTTCATGTATGTTCATCTTTCAATGCAGTTTTTACCACATATTTTGAGCAGAACACAGAGTGAGGAACCAGACCACATTCCCCCTTCATCTCTCTAAAGGGAAAGGGTGTTATGATTGGCCTGGAGTAGCCCACTCATCCAGACCATAATGACTCCATCTTACCTGAGTCCAAGAGACAGAAAGTTCCCTTTTGCAATCAGCTGCAGATCCCTGCCCAAGCAAAAGACCAGGTCATCTGATGCTGGCATTGCAATGCAGATGACTTGACTGAGGTTATCTGTAGCCAAGCACTGCCACTTAGTCAGTGTATTCAGAAGTAAATTTCCACGTTCCGGTTGCCTGCAAGTCATAACAGTTCCCTACTCCTTTTGCTTATGGATCAAGCAGGCAATGGCAATATAAAAATGGGAACAAGAAACTCTAATATACTGTAGCTAGGACAGCATAAAGTATTGGTGGAGTTTTGTTTGAGAAGGAGGGAAAATGTCATGAGAAAGCTTGAATCTGTAAAAGACATCTTTACTTTCCCTCCCACATTCCAAACAAGCAAATTTGGCTTGTTTTGTTGTGTCTCCTTTGGTTTTACAATAAATACATTATGGATTATAGTCCAACTAACAGGAAGAATGCCTTTCTCATTTAGTCAAGTGTAAAAGCTATTATGCAAGAGTAAACATTTTTCCTCACCGACACACCCTCTCCCGTGAGGGCAGAACAAGACTGAATCTGCCAGACTCTGTCACGGATCGTGTGCAAGTTCAGACCCTCTGCAATCTCTGCAGCAGGAGCTGCCGTCAGCAGGTCTTGTTTGTTTGCAAAGATGAGCACAGGAACACCACTTAGTTTCTCTTCATCTATGAGCTCTGCTAGCTCCTGCAATTACAAAGATGTGAGTAGTAGGAAGTAGTAGTAGTAATAGTAGTAGTAAGGCCTCAGCAGATATAGGCAGCCTATAAATATGTGGATAAATAGATTTTTTTCTTAAAACCTTTGAGTTTTTCTTCAATGGGTGCTTCCAGATAAGAATTGTATTGCACTATCACCCAGCCTCAGTCACAGATTTTTACAGGAGGTCTGCAGGATGTTAGCTCCCCATGTTTTTTCATCACACTTCCATCTTTTTTTAAAAAAACTGGGGGGGGGGATTCATTAAAGAACAAAAGACGAGAAAGCTTCACAATGCCTTTTGACTGATAGTGCTGAAAGCCCTTCATCTTGAAGCACCCTGAACAATTTTACATTTAGGACAAATTCTAATGTTTTAGTGGAATATACAAACTACAGGAAAAAGCAAACAATATACTTTATCACAAAGACAAGATTTTAAAGAAAATTCTTCCAAATGTACAACAGAGAGGCCTTAGCTCTGTCTGATCTTACCAGTTGCCATTTCCAACTCTCTAAAGACCAGCACTGATGACACAGCAAAAATGACACATGTTGGCACAGTAATAACCTGACTTGCCAGCATAGTGGAACAGCCCTTGAAAACAGGTGGCTTTATCCTACATATGCTTCAAATTCTGCAGGAATGCTAACTGCAAGCTTTGAACTTTGATCCAGTTTACCCAACTAATTCATGGAAGGGCAGCACTGATAAAGTCTCTTTCCAGAAACAATTTTTTTCTTCATAAAAGGCAGCTGCTGTGGCTAGTAAAAGGGATTTTCAGCAATGGGCTCACACATGCATCATTCATTAATAATAATAATATAATAATGATGATGATGATGATGATGAATGCACTGATGATTTGAGAAAATAGGAAATGAAGGCCACTAATGGCTAAATGGCTAGATTCACTGTAAAATGGCTAGATGGCTAGATACACTAGATTCTGTGGCTAGATTCACTGTAAAATGACCTTAGAAATGGAAGACAACATGCCTATGCTTAATGGTTAGGTGCCTAACACTATGGTTTCCAGTTCTAAACTTACAGCAAATGGTATAAAAAGGACAATCATAGCAAAGGAAACACAGAATACAAAATGGTGCTTAGCAAGCCTTTTCCTGGCCCTGTCCACATATATTTACTTCTGATACCCTTTTCGTAATAGAACAAAATATTATTTTAGATACTTTTAATCTATATCTATGCATTATGTTCTGATATTATCTACTTTGTCCTAGAACAGTATATAAAACCCTCTATTCTGAGTGATAGTAGCTAGATACTTCGGGATAGATATAGCAGTAGCATTTTTATGATTGATATAAGGGTACCAGTATCCAGTACTGGTACCATTTTCTAATATTGAGCCACTGGATGTAACCTGGAGACTTTAAATTAAATGAATTCAACTGCTGAGAAAATTGGTTTATTTATTATTTCATTAACTATATTTATATCCTTCTATTTCCCTGCAAGGAATTCAACGCAGTTTACATAATCTTTCTCCTCTCTTTGTTATCCTCACAACACCCCTCAGAAAGATTGGGCCGAGAGATAGTGACTGGCCAAAAGCTTCATGGTCACCTTAAGCTTCATGGTCACATGGCGACCAGACATTGAATATCTTGAGTCTCAGTCTAACATACTAGCCAGCATAGCACGTTGGCTCTCCAGTGTGGTGAGTTGTTTTATACACCAGAATTTCACCCACACTGGATTAAATTATTGCAAATCCTTTTATAGCTTTTAAATTATATTGCAATTCTAACTAGATTGGAGAACTGTTATTTGGTTCATACTTCATAAAAAGATGAAACTAATTGAAAAGAGCCTTGAGAATAGTTGAGAATTGGGAAGAATTGCCCTTCCATGTTTAGTTTATTCATCAGTTTGGCAGGAAACTACAATTTAAATTAAATAAGGCATTCATTTTCCTAAGTTTAGGGAAAGCAGTAACATTAGTTCTTGGCAAATATAACTTTAGTCTTGCCTCAGATATATACTTATTTCCCAATTTTTTAGATTACTTACCTGACCAGTTTCTTCAAATCTCTTTCTATCTGCACTATCAATGACATAAATCTATAAATGAAATAGGTAAAAAAGCAAAAGATGAAACTAAGGTGTTGTCCTCTGGACTTGAAATAACAAACGTTCACTTGAACAACCTCCCCCAATCATATTTGTCTTGAATTAATTCCCATTTGAATCAGTGATCAGTAATTCCCATTTGATCAGTGACTCATAACTTAGAGACTGTAGACCTTATGGCAACACCAAAGTGAAAAGCATTGCACCAACCAAGACAGATACACATCAAGTGCCTACTTCTAATAACTAGAGGCTTCATGCCAAATAGCTGCAGGTGTGTGTCTGAATATGCAATCATTCAGATATACACACCTTTATTTGACTGCGAGTAGCTTCCAAATAGCACAGGTGTGGGTAGCTGGAGTATCTCCCATTCAAACACACCTGCATGTTCATGAATGTGCAATCACTTTGTGTTAAAAATATTCTTGGAGGGGCCTCTCACTTGTGTAATACTCTTCAGCTTGGGGCAGAGGCAAGAATCTTAGTTAGCATGCTGTCTGTTTACAAGAATCCCTTCAGAATACACCAGGCTAGTTTGGACTCAGTGTTTCAGCTTTTCTGGGATAGGTGGGTGCAAATCAATTGAATGAACATAAGGAAGCCTGCTCATGGCTTCAGGGTTTGGAAACATCTGTGAATAGTAAGAACAATGCACAAAGTAAAGAGGCTTTGAAAAATGTTTGGGCAAATGTCTGCAAAAAGCAGTAAGAAAACATGATTTGCATCTAACAAGGACCCAGAGTTGAATATGGATTGTCACTGAATAATGCATTGTTGATGAATTGTGGGTTGCTGTGCAAACCCTTTACTATGATTTAACCATGACACATCAACCACAAACAAGACAGGAAGAGACCATATGGCTGGTTGTTGGGTTGTGAACTCTGGGTTGTTTCTGGTTAAAAATAGTTAAACCATAGTGTAGGGTTCACAAATAACAATATCCCACAATACAATGACAACACAAACTTAATCTGTATTCTGAATCATTATTATATGCAAAGCAGATTACACATATAAGTGGTAACCCTGGGTTCATCTATTTTGTTTGTGTGCAAAAGTCAAAGTTTTCTTGTTGAACTGCCTAGGCTGGAACTGATGAGTTCTGTTAAGTATTCATTGAGCCTTAAAAACAGGCACTTACTGTTTCTTTGTCTCATGCTATCATACAAGGGTGAATAGATCTGATTTTTTCAGTTAATGATCTAGTTCTCTTAAACTCATCATGAATAACGTAAGCCTGTCAAAATACAAGACTTACAGATGTAACCACCACCACTACTACTAATTTTATTTCTCTTTTCACAATGGTTCTCTTTTCACAATAAGTCATTGTGGAATAATTAATTCATGGAGCTGCAAGATTTGCATTGGACACCAATTCTAAATATGTAAGCCATGGTAGGGGCATGCCACAGCTTGTTGGGTCACACAAATCCAGATGTAGGTTATTTAAGGATTAAATAAGGCACAGGGTTTTTCTAGTGTTAGACTCCACCATGGCTTGCATAGTCAAAATGGTGGCATTGCATCTCCTGAAGCCATGTGGATAAATTAACCATGGTAGCTTATCATGATAGGCAAACTTTGGCTGCAGACCAGTGCATTTTGTATTGCACTGTTGAACAAAAAAATTTCAACAGAAAGATCCCACCTTGTAATTTGATTCATGCTTTTCAGCTGCAATGGTAAACTATTTCAAAGGGAAGGCTACACCACACAGTTGAGAGACAAGTTAAAAATATTTTTGCAGATGTCATAATTCATATGTGTATAGTATATTTACAAGAATGATCAGACTGGCTGACTGCTGCAAAAATGGCTTTGATAGTGATTAAAACAGTGCTATTTCTTAGTTAATGTTTATTTAATGTAGCATAAAACTGTAGCTGATGCTTACCAGGATATCAGTATTCTCAAAATAATTCCTCCAGTATGGCCTGATCTTCCTCTGTCCACCAATGTCCCACACATTCAGCTTGAAGCCCTGTGCTTGCACACTTTTAATGTTAAAACCCTGTGGCAAGTAAAGATAAACCATAACTAGAGTTAACAGGATGCCTGGCCTCAGATTCAAAGGCATACACCATTCACAGCTTATATATTACAACTCTGGAAACCCTAAAAAGATAAGACCTGTATTGCTATTCAGATGGATTGGCTATGCGTAAAGTGAAGGATACAATAGCCTTGCATGGATCAGGGTCAGTTTCTGTCACAACTATAAAGATTTATGTTGCAGCTCTTAAGAAAGGAGGGTGCAGTGGAAGGTGAGATAAGGAGAAAGGCCTTGCAAATAGCAAGACTGAGCTCCTGAAAAGTGAGCCCAATGTGCAGGCTAATGAGAAGCAGAAGTCTGTCTGTGAGTTGATTTAACAAAACTAGAAGCAACAGCTGAACTTCTGAAGGGCCTGTTTCATCAATTAAAGTTCCAATTGAAAGCGGTGTGCAACTGGAAAAACAGGATGTGGTGCAGGCTGGCAATGAGCTGCCACACAATACAGGGGATTGGCTCCGAGCTTGGAATCTGAGGGTGGGCTTTTGCTTTAAGGCGTGGGAGCTTCTTACTGGCAATGTGTTGCAGTGTAGGATTAGAGGAAGATGACCCAACCTTCCACAATCTCTACCACCACCCACTGGCCAACTGTGGAATGGTATCTATTGGGCATTTATTGAAAAAAAAAGAGAGGTACTGCGTGGAAAGATAATTGAGGAACACTACACATTTTAATGAATGCATGTTATAAAACTGCACTTGGTATTTGCTAAATGTTGCACATAAACCAAATAACAACTTATAACTTGGTTTAATCTCTTAAACTGCACTTGACCATGACTTTGTACTGTGTTTGAGGTCTCAGGAAGCTATATTGTATTGCTGGTAAATATGTGTATGATCTCTGTTATTTCAGATTATTATGGTTATGAAATGTTATTTCAGTGGGTACACAACCTGGATCTGCAACATTTTAGTATCTTAACATGTCAAACTGGCTGAAAAACAAGTTACTTGGGTCTCAGAACAGTAGACATGCCAATACTAGAATCAGGGAGAACAAAAAAAAAAAAAGACTGGTATTATGGCATCTGTACCGACGTTCATTTTAGAGATCATATTCTTCCTCTTGGTTACATACTTATAAAAGAAATGCTTAAAAAAGTTATTGTGGATTTACAACAATGGAGTGAAATCAAAGTCTCATTACAATTATAAATAATGCAAGACAGAACCTGTTTATTGAAAGCTTCCAATGTACAAGATGAAATTTAAACTTGAGGGACTGCTATGTACCCATTCAATTTGATTTTAGTTGCTGCACACTCCCCAATTTCTAGATTTTGAGGTGCACTGACACATGCAATGTCTGATTGTCTGAAAGTATCTTTCCTTACCTGTGTTGGAGTGATGTGGGTGATATCTTCAGATGCTAGTTGTTTCAAAAGTGTGGTCTTGCCTGCATTATCCAATCCCAGGAGGAGGATCCTTACCTCCTGGTCTGGTGCACTCTTCAGTTTACGCAGAATTGACAGCAAACCCTGTGCCAGTCAGAAAGATGAGTGATTTGCTTACTTCTCATGATCACTAGCTCCTAATTTGTAATGTACCTAATCCTAATATATACTAGGTTCCTTTCATGAATTAACTGTACAGGACCTTGTCTGCAAGTTCATAATCTGAAATTCACATCACAAAAGAAAAGGAGATTTGCAAGGATCAGAAAGAAAATAGAAACTTTTTCATGGGTAAGAATAAATGGAAGCAAAAAGGTAAAGTAAATCAGCAATTAATTTAACAGTACTTTAAAAAAAATCAACAAACACTAAAGGACACATGAAACAAATTATTACTACTACTACTGATGCTACTACTATTAGTCCTATTAAAGGAGACAAAGAGGAGGCCAGTGGCCCATCTATGGAAAGAGTACTATGCGTAAGGCTCTGTGGACAGTGCAATCAAGCAAGCAAGCAAGTGGAGGTTTAGTAAGAAGATTAGTATTTGATGAATGGAGAGACTCTGGAAGAGAACAGAGAGAATGCAATGAAAATAGATTAGAAGGGGAAAGGCCACAAAGACGAGGTTACAAGACATTTAAAAGTTAATAACAGAACAACAGAGGAAGCTAGTGAAAAGAAATATATCCTCTTCTTTAATTCCATAATTCTATTTATATTTATAAAGTACCTACAGTTATCATAGGCTGTGCAGAAATGTTAAATATCCATTTTCTGTCACAGAATCAACTGATACAGTGGGAAGATTAAAGGAGCGGACACAAAAAAGGGACACAAAAACAAACAAAGGCAAAATGTGGAAAAACAGATTCTGAAACAAAACCTGAAACAGCAAAAGAGTATAGAAGAAAACAGAGTAAAAAACAAGAGGCAATTAAATGCAACTTTAAAAAAATGAGGAGAGATGGTTATTAAGAGTAAAAAAAACTTCCAAGAATAGGAAAAAGCCAGAGCAAACAAATGACAATGGAACAATGGACAAGTTTGCAAGTAACAGTAAGCCACGTTGTGAATGGGCTGGTTGTACACTGGGCAAAGCATTGTATGACCAGCAGACAAATCAGGCTTGCCATGGTTTGTTCTTCTTCCCCCTCAAATCATTCAGCAAATTATCTCAGGGGATTTTGCAGCAAAAACTTACTTTGTGTACAGTTGCAAAGGACCAGAAGAGCAAAGAGCAGTAAAAGAAAGGAGAGACCCAGTAACAAAATGCAGAATAACTGAGAATGAGTGGGAAGTCAAAGGAGAATATGCACTAAAAGGGGGAGGAGCGATACCTCTCTCTTGGTTTTTAAGTGCTGGACTGACACTTTTTAAGTGTTCCCCATTTCCTGATTTTCCAGCTACTTAAATAAGGAGGGGATAGTCATTCCCCCACCTGTTTTGCAGCTCTTTTTCAGAGCATTTACTACTACTGTTACTCTAAACAACAACAAAAAAATATAACATCCTATGTGCATTTTTGTGGTAGTGAAAAATAATAAAGTAAAAAAGCTATAAAAAAAACAAGTGACTCTTCTTCAGAAGTGCAATTTCAAGCTTGGTAGAAGGGCTGTCACTGAAAAGATTGTGAAAAGCAAGTATAATGGGGGAGGGGGGTTGCAGATCTTGCTAAGCACCCTGTACAGCTATTCACCACAACTCACAATCACAACTGATCTCCAGAATTCAGATGACATGGCAACCTATTGTAAGACAATTCTACATCCAGCCATGGATTCTTAGCATGGCTTATTCCTGAAATAAGCAACCCAGTGGAAAATGTTCTGAGTTCAGACAACACAGCAACCAGGCATGGCTGATTGCCCAAGGTGAGTTCTTGTGTTGTGCAAACCCAGTCAGTACCAAGAAATACAAAGGTGTATCCAGAAGAGTAGACTGAGCAGAGTTTAAAGAATGAAAAGACAGATATGGAAACATCAATATTAATAATTTTAACAAACTCAATATTTTATACAGTCACATTTTCTTTTTCTTTCTTATACTTTCTTTATTTTGAATTATTATATTATATTATTATTATTGTAAAACTGCTTTTATTGGACATTTTAATTGTGTTTTATTATTGACTGAGTTTTGTAAGCCATCCTGAGGCCTTGGGCAAAGGAAGGGTTAGAAATGTTTTAAATAAATAAATAACCCTGCCATCATTTCTGCCATTCCTATTATTGCATGAAATGCATGGAGGGCAACTGCCTGAAGCAGAGCATCTCCTCTATCTGTGGGGGCTACCCACAATAATTTGCATGCTGATTATTCAGCATTCTGGTTCTGCACTATGTGAAGAGCCATTGTGGATAGAAGAGGCTCCACACTTCGGACAGTTGCCCTCTACAAGTTCAACTCAAGTTCATTAATGAGGGGGCATGCTTAGTATGTGTTTAATCAACACACTTAACACCAGAACAGGTATTAGGTGGGGCTAAGAAAATAGGAAATGTAATAAATTCAGTTTATTAACTTCTAACTTTGTACTGTGTTGCGGCATCCACGCTGAGATCACACTTGTTACAGTAGCAAGAACAAATTATAATACTCGAGCAGAAAGATTCTTTTGAGTATCATCAGAAAAAATACGTTAATTCAAACCAAAGCAGTGAATTAGCAGGTCAAGAGTGAGAATATACAAGGAAAAAAATTAAGGGACCTAAGAATAACTCCTGGGAATACCAACAGGCAATAGAAATTGAATATTTAGCGCTGCAGCATGATTAGTGCACAAAGGAAAATTAAGAGATAAGAAGGGGATGCGGTGAAAGGTTTAAGCTGAGAAATGAGAAAACTGCTAAGCAAAACATTTCAACAATTGACACAGAAATAGGAGTTTTAGTAGAACTAAATAGAAATGTTTTAGAAATATTGTAGGGAGACAGCAGCAAAACTTAGTTGTAATGGTAATGAAGGCTCAGAAAGAAAGTGAAGGATCAAAGATAATTTCTAATCACTTAACATGGTTTGCCATGCATGGACCTAAGCCCTTTTTGGTAGATCTATGAGCTATGTCAGAGGGCCATGTAGCAACTGATGAGGTGGGTGAATGGGGACTAAGATTTGTTACCTCCTTTTCAATATTTGAGTTTAAAGGTTATCTTGCCCCCTCATGCAGCTCCTGATTGGTAATAACCATTAATATTAGAATCAGTATGTGGAAAAAACAATTGCACTAAATCATCCACATCAAGGTATGGATGATGGTCTGAAGATACAGGGAAATAAAAGATTTCAGCCAAACCCCATTTATACAAAACTTGTAATCAAAACCTCCTTCTTACTTTGATTCTAAGTACTTGATACCATGGCAAGAATTCTTAACTAGCTATGATTCTGATTACCCCCTTCTATTTATTCTCTAAACAGTTCTGAACAAATGAAACTTTCTCATTTCAGTGTTTCTGGGATAGAGCAACTGTAAATCTTTCAGTTCCCTGCACTGTATGACCAAGAAAGTTTAGCAAATTTCAAATACAGATCCTCACAGGTTGGAAGTAGTTTTCAAGCTTTGCAAACAGAGTATTCTTGTAAGTTTATTTGCAATGCAAAAATGCTACAAATAATGGACCATATTGGTGGTGCACCTGGGATGTTCTGAAAGAACTGTCAACTGGAAGGACTTGCTGGATACTGATATGTAAATGTTCTTACAATGCTTTATCACATCCATACAAGACACAGACCTCCTGAATAGCCCATTCAATGAGAAAAAATGTTTTGAAAACCAGAAGATTGGTTTTCTAATTCCACTTTTGCTAGTAAACTCCAACATCTTGAGGTATTACATTGTTTTCCCTACATTTGTTTCTTCTCCTCTAACTTATAATGGACTGCAAAAATGCTTAAAGCAACAATGGCAAAGTAGCATACAAATTTGGACTTTTAAGCACACTTGATAAAAAGAAACCATATCGGCACAGGAAGCAGGCTTGAACTTTGGATTGCTGACAACTTTTCATAAAAGCAAGAAGTACGGAATATTAATTATATTCAACTATTAGTAAAACAAAACAAAACAGGTGTACAAGAGTTACAACAGCTAAAGGAAGCTAGCTGCCCCACCACAAAGAGAAATAACATATTATGCAGCTCCCAATGTTAATTTTTGAAGATACATGTTTTCTGTCCAGATTTATGTACACACATGAAAATATGCTGTCTGCGTAGCTCTCCTGAGAGTGATGTATGAGCAGAATCCTAGATTCCTGATGGTTTGTTTTTATGCTTTGTTCAGGTAAAGTAGTTTCAAATGAATTGTACCACTTCAGAAAGCAATCCCTTGAGTACCAAATATCACCTCAAAAGTAATGAAGAAATTCAAAAGGCAGGCTAACACTGTGAAGCAGTTGCTAATGAATAGTAGCAGCTGACTTCTAGGTGGCACTTCAGCATTTCAATGAGCACAGTATATGATTCACTCAAGACTGGCACTCAGTGAAGAAACTAGGACTTCCACTTCCCTGCCCTCTTCCAGGTGACAAGAGAAATTCACAAATGCATCTCAAACATTTAGATTTTAATACTACTTCAGGTTACTTGACTTACAGCCATCCACCCCATTATTTTTGTAAAGATGACAGCTTGAATTCAGCTCAAACACTCTTCCACAACTAGTCCTTACTCCTTGTATCACTCCATTCTCAAGCAGGTCAGGCACTTACATTCTGAGAAAACACTGTGAAAATTAGAACTAATCTATGGAGCTGTTTTTATTCACCATGAAAGAGAAACACCAATATCAACATAATGGGCCAGTCTGCATGATCAAACAGCCTACCATGTGTGCTGGTGGCCATTTTCAATACTCAAGCCATGGCCATAGTTTTTTAGGTTATCTGGTTACTCTATCCAAGGACTTAGCAAGTACTTGTCAATATAAATCAGTAAAGCATATAAGCTTCCGTAGAGAGTATGTATAGAATTACAAATATTTCTTCACATTGGTAGGCCACAGGACATTGTTAGGTATGATCTGCTGACACACTCTCAACTTATACAAGATGAGACTCAACAGTCTTACCAGTGCCCCA